GCCCCCGGGGGTCAGAGCCGAAGAGGCGCCCGTCGTGTCTGCTGCAACGCCTGGAGGAGCGGGTCATTATCTGAAGGCGGGGCCAAAGGACACGCATATATATACACACACACACACACACACAAACAAACAAACAGATCCTAGGATCCCACATTCCGTTGTCCTGGAGGTTCGCCCTCCCCATCCACCCCCCATAGTCTCCAGACTCCACTTCCCAAGCGACGATGAGTTGTGCCTGTGTGCTTCTGTTCCCTCCTGATCAGCCTCCCCAGAAGGTCGAACTCTGGGCCCATCCCGGAGCCCGTCTGGCAAGGCCTCCTCGCCTCGAGCCAAGGCCAGCGATGGCCTCCCGGGCCCCCCCCGCCCCAGGAGGCCCCTACTGCAGCGAAGAGCCCGGAGAAATCCCCCACGAACGAGCGGTTGAACTCTGAGCATCGTTTCTAGACTTAAGTCGGGCCTGTCCCCTAAATAGTCCAAAAATACTCTAAAACTAGTCTGGAACCATTTTTTGAGTATTTTCTGACCTTGGGGTATCTTTTGGGTATTTATTATTTTTCGTCGAAACTCCCCCTGTAGGGGGACACGCCCGACATAATTCTAGACGTCAGAAAATCCACCCCCATAATAACCACCCCGACACGCGGAGTCGTTTAGTAGACGCGTCCAAAAAGGAATCGAACAGGGCAGGGCTGTTTAGTAAACGCCCAGGGCCGTCTAGCAAACGCCAAGTTGTCCGGTCCGGGTGGTCTTTTCTCTCTTGGGTTTCACCGACCCCTGTCCCCGTGGGCGTGGCCCGCGCCCAACGGATCGATGTGCGCCCCCGTGGGGCTGCAGGCCGTTTCCACTGGGTATCGAGGGCGCCTACGCCCTACTGGAGGGCTGAGATGGTGGGAGGAGGAGCAGGAGGAGGAGGAGGAGGAGGAGGAGGTGGCGAGGAGGAGGAGGAGGAGGAGGAGGAGAAGGGAGGAGGGGAGGATGGAGAGGAGGAGGAGGGAGAGGAGGAGGAGGGAGGAGGGTGGGATAGGCATGGGGATGAGGACAGGGCTCGGTTTCACACGGTATGAGTCACACGTGCGCGTCCTCCTCCTCCTCCTCCTTCCTCCTCCTCCTCCTCCTCCTCCTCCTCCTCCTCCTCCTCCTAGTTGTTCTCCACGCGCGGTCCCCTGGAAGCCCGACCCCTTCCCCCGGGGCCGGTGCTCCATCCTGCAGGCCGTCCTTGGACCGCCCTGGGGGCCTGGAGAGGGCCCCACGAGGCCAAGAATAGCAAAACTCGGGAGCGGGGGGCCAAGGAAGAGGAGGAGGAGGAGGAGGAGGAGGAGGAACAGGAGGAGGAAAAAGGGGGATGGGGGAAGATGAGGAGGAGGAGGAGGAGAAGGAGGAGAGGAAGAGGAGGCGGTGAGAGGAGGAGGAGGAGGAGGAGGAGGAGGAGGAGGTGGTAGGAGGAGGAGGAGGAGGAGGAGGAGGAGGAGGAGGGGGAGGTGGAGGGGGAGGAGGAGGAGGAAGTGGGGAGGAGGGGGAGGAGGAGGAGGTTGGAGGAGGAGTAGGAGGAGGAGGAGGAGGAGAAGGCGGAGGAGGAGGCGGAGGAGGAGGAGGAGGAGGAGGAGGAGGAGGAGGAGAGGGAGGAGGGAGGAGGGGGGCGGGGGCGGAGGGCGGAGGAAGCCCAGGCCCCCGCGGGTCATGGACAAGCGGGAGCGGCCAAGAGGGGGGTGTCCAAGAGGGGGGGGTGCAAATCATGACCGGCGGCATGTGCGCGGCCCAGCGGGGGGGCCAGGGGCGTAACGAAATCAGAAGAGGCGCCATGAAATCTGGGGAAGTATCGTGGCCCCCGCCATGATATCCACCCCCCCTAGTCATCACCCCCCTCTTTTCCGCTCCCGAAAAACCTCCCGTCCTGGTTATTGTCCAAGGACTGGTGAAGCGATGCTGAAAATACACTGTGTTTCGCGGGGCGTGCCCCCAACTGAGGGGCTGAGACGGTGGGGGCCTGAGAGGGCTCCTAGATGGGGTCGGAGCACATGGTTTCGGAGGATCGGGCCGCACCGCCGATACATCGGCGATGCATCGTCGGGGATCTTCTGACCAGGGTCAATCCAGACCCGGGTCAGCAGGAAACCAAAAACTGCAATGCAGGAAAAACAAACTACAACGCAGGTCCTCGCAAACCCGGGTCAGCCAATAGGCGCGGCCGCCTCGCGGCCACGAACGGCTCCCTAACCCAGGTCAGCCAGAGGGGGTCTTCGCAGGATCCTGCAGGATCCGGCGCCGTGGCTGACCCCCGTTTGCATTGACCCCCGTCTCAAGGCTCCCGACATCGGCGATGCATGGTGGACGCCGGCGATGCATCGGCGACGTCGACGTAAGGCAAATCGGGCCGTACATCGAGCCGCATCGTCGATGCATCGGCGATGCGGCGCAATCCTCGGACCCCATCTACTCCGACCCCATCTAGGAAGCCTAGAGGTCTGGATGGGGAAGGGGATGGAGATCGGAGTCGGTCAAACGATACTGAAACTCGCAGAAACCTTGGCCTCCTTCCGTGCTCCGACTCCGAGCCAGGGTTGCCGAGCGGCAGAGTCCTGCCCACGATCTCGAACCACGGCCTTTTTAATCAGCCCCGATCCTGCAGTAGGGGGGAGCAATTAGTGGACACTCCCCCGCTCCCCCAAACTCAAAGTTGGCACGCGCGGGGGAGACTGCGGTCGAAGTGCAACTCATCAGACTCCACGCCGACTTTGAACATTTGGGGGAAGGGGAGGCGTTGACCGATGAATGTGGAATGTGGCATGCGTGTTCGCTATTGTTTCCGAGGCCTGAACGTATCCCTATCCAAAAATTGCCAAACCCTGAAAATCCTGGTCCCGAGACTGCCAGACCCTGAAACTCGGGGTCGGTCAAACGACACTGAAGCTCCTGGCCCTAAGTGAGAAAGGGCGGACCTTCTCAAAGGCTCGGAATTCCCCCGGCCTTCTGAGAAGTTGTCTGAGCCTTCCCCGAAGACAAAAAAACCTCTCAGAAGGCCTGAGGGCTTCTGAGAAGTCCCGCTGCCTTCGAGAAGGCCTTCTCCCTCTCACTTCCCCCCCTCGCTGGCCGCCGACCTGAGATTGTCAAGCCCTGGAACTCCTGGTCCCGAGATTGCCAAGCCATGAAACTCGGGGTCGGTGAAACGACATTGAAGCTCCTGGCCCTCCTCATTTGGACGCCCAGAATGGGTACGAAACAAAAAAATGGATACGATGCCGAACAACAGATGTTATCTAGAACCGACAGCGCCCACTGTTGGGCAGGCGGCTGCTAGTCTTCAGTGAGCAACGTCCGCGGCGGCGCGGACAGCGAGTCCTGTTCAAAATGAAGAGGAACTGCTGTCGCGCATCGCACCCCGGCTTGCCGTACCCGGAGGAGGAGGAGGAGGAGGAGGAGGAGGATCCTCCCGAACGGAAGCGCCTGGCCCTCCTCAGCCTCCGTCCAGGGCCGGCGGGCAGGGCGGGCGTCCTGAGGATGCTCCGCAGTCTCGCTTCGCCCTCCTCCTGGAGGGGCGGGAGGGCGGGGAGGCCACCACGAGGGCAACGACAGCAGGAGCAATCAGGTTACGGCGGCTCGCTCTTGTCTGCTCGCCTGGCGGGGGATCAACAATATGTACCATTCAAACATGAGAATGTGACAACACCAACAGGTATGTTAGGATCGCTCGTTCATGTCTGCCCACGCGTAAACCGGCATATGTCTCCCAAACCCTCGACAACAGCCCTCTTCGTCTTCGATCATACCCCCCTTGGGGCATATCTTCCTTATCTACCACGTGCAGTTGGCGAAGCCCCTAAGGCAGGGGAAGGGAGGAGGGAAGGGACAACGGGGAAGGAGAAGGATGGAGCACGTAAGAGATTAGCAGGAGGGGGGTTGAGAGCAGAACAATCATTTTGCTTCGAGCGATCTCCACAAGAACCTCCGAAGTTGTGTTTCCCGAAGGTGCGCCCGCCTACTGGAACGATGAGCGCGGAGCCCGTTTGTCTTGGCCAGCGCAACGATTCAAAGGGGCCGGCGGATGCCGCGCAAGCCTGTAGAATCCACATCCGAAGGTGATGCTCTGAGCGGCAGCGCTTCTCGGCGAACGCCTTAATGCAACGTATCCCACGCATCGGATGATTGCATAATTGATACGTCCTGTATTGTCACATTCTTGCGTCTCCCCGTACCTGAAGGGGCCCTGGGACACACAAATAAATAGACACACATAACAGGATTCCCCATATTTTCCCATATTCTCCGGGTTTTCGTCTTCCCCACCACTTCCCATATTTTCCCATATCTTCCTGGGGAATCGACGATTAACTGTGTCTGTGTGTTTCTTTCCCTCCTGAGTACCCCCCCTCTGGAGTCGCGCCACATGCGCGCACCCTTCGGACGACCCTCACCCCGGGGCTCAAAACGCGCACCGAAGCGTGCGGAACATGTGGGGCCTCCCGGGGGCCCACGAGGGCCTCGAGACGGCTCACGACTGCCTCGAGACGGGCCAGGACGGCCACAGGACGGCCCAAGGTGGCCCCCAAGAGGGCCCACGAGGCCTCCAAGGCAGCCCCACGGGGCCCCGAGGGGGCCCCCAGGAGCACCTTCAAAGGCCAAGCACGCTGACTTTCTTGAAGTTCTTCCGAGATTCTAGCGTTCTCGCCCGTCTCGACTCTCGGGGGCCCATGACGGCCCAGGCAACCTCCAATATGGCCCCAAGACGGCCCCAAAGGCCCCGAAGAGGGCCCCAAAGACGGCCCAAGAGGGCCCCTGTATGGCCCAAAGAGTCGCGACAAACATATGGAAGATCTATTGTTTCAGCCTCTTGGGCCTCTTGAAGCCCAAGAGGGCCTCAAGATGACTCAAGACAACTCAAGAGACCCCCAAGAGGACGTTCCGAGACCAGAAAGCCGCCGAAAGCCGACGAAAACCTTCGAGAACCTCGAACCTCGAACCCCAGGAGGTCGATGCATACCTTCGAAACCTCCAACCTCAAACCTCCCCCCTTCGAAAACCTCGAAAACATCGAAAACCTCGAACCTCCCCCTTCGAAAACCCCGAACCTCGAACCCCAGGAGGTCGCGCCTGTCCCCCCCCTGTCGTTGCCCCTGACTGAAGGGGCCCTGGGACACATTTCCCAAATTTTCCCATATTCTCTGTGGAATCGACGATTAATTGTGTCTGTGTGTTGTTTTCCCCCCTATCGTTGCCCCCGACAGCCTCCCCGCCCAGGCTCCTGCCTCCCCTGGCCGCCGGTCAGCAGGAACAGGAGCTTGCGCGCGGCGAGCGTGTAGAGCGGCAGGAGGCAAAGCCTCCTGCCGAGCACCTGCGCGAGGTCCCCCCGTCCACCTGCAAATCCTCATCCTCCTCAATCCTCTTCCCTTAAGTTCCTCCTCCTCCTCCTCCTCCTCCACCTGATGTTTTGATGTTTTTCCTCCTTCCTGCATCCTATTACCTCCTGCTGTTCCTCCTCCTCCTGCTCCTCCTCCTCTTCCTCCTCCTCCTCTTCCTGCTCTCTTCCTCCTCCTGCTACTTTCGATGTTCTCCTCCTCCTCCTCATCATCATCATCCTCACCCTCATCCTCATCATCATCATCATCATCATCATCATCATCATCATCATCATCATCATCATCATCAGCAGCAGCATCATCAGCATCATCATCAGCATCATCAGCATCATCATCACCACCACCACAATCATCATCATTGTCCTCCTCCTCCTCCTCCTCATCATCATCACCATCACCATCATCATCATCATCATCATCATCATCAGCAGCATCATCATCGCAATCAGTATCATCATCATCATTATCATCATCATCATCATCATCATCATCATCATCATCATCAGCATCGTCATCAACAGCATCATCAGCAGCATCAGCATCAGCATCATCGCCATTATCATCGCCATCGTCACCAGCATCATCATAATCCAACTGCTCCTCCTCTCTACCATTCCCTCCTCCTCAGATCACTGTCCACATCAGAATCAGCATAACCAGCAGCAGCATCAGCACCAGCATCATCATGAGCAGCATCATAATCAACGTTAGCATCATCACCACCACCACCATCATAATCCTCACCACCATCACCACCATCATCCTCATCACCATCACCACCATCATGATCAACCGTCATCAACACATCCTCATCATCATCAGCATCATCATCATCAGCAGCATCATCATCATCAGCAGCAGCATCATCATCACCATCCCCACAACCCGCACCACCACCAAAACCACCACCGCCACCACCATTATCATCATCAGAATCATCATCAGCAGCAGCATCAGCCTGATCATCATCATGGTAATCAGCATCATCAGCATCCTCATCCTCATCCTCCTCATCAGCATCAGCATCACCCTCATCCGCATCCACCTCATCATCATCATCATCAGCATCAGCATCATCAGCAGCACCAGCAGAACAATTATCACCACCACCAAAACCACCACCACGACCACCACCACCACCACCATCATCATCATCATCATCATCATCATCATCATCATCATCATCATCATCCTCATCCTCATCCTCATCCTCATCCTCATCCTCATCATCATCATCATCATCATCATCATCATCATCATCATCATCATCATCATCATCATCATCATCATCATCATCATCATCATCATCATTACCATTCTCATTATCATGATCAGGAGCTCGGGGCGGAATGGCGGCCAGGCGGCTCCCAGCGCCCGCTCCTCCTCCTCCTCCTCCTCCTCCTCCTCCTCCTCCTCCTCCTCCTCCTCCTCCTCCTCCTCCTCCTCCCCTTCCTCCTCCTCCTCGGCCGATGCGAACGAGTACGACGTGCACGGCGGGCCCCAGCGGCACGTCAACGCGTGGCAGCCCGTCGCACCGGGGTGAACGGCGATGGCTTCCTCACGGCGCCCGAGCGGGAGAAGCCTGAGAGGACCCCGCCCGAGGAGGACGGATGATGATGATGATGATGATGATGATGATGATGATGATGATGATGATGATGGTGGTGATGATGCTGATGATGATAATGATGCTGATGATGCTAATGATGCTGATGATGCTGATGATGATGACAATGATGATGCTGATGATGATGATGATGAGGCTGGTGATGATGATGCTGTTGATGATGATGAGGATGACGAGAATGATACTGATGATGGTGATGATGATGGTGATGCTTATGACTATGATGGCCATGATGATGGTGATGGTGATGGTGATGGTGATGATGACGGTGCTGATGGCGATGATGATGTTGATGATGATGGTGATGATGAAAATGATGATGGTGATGATGATGATGCTGATTATGATGATGGTGGTGATGCTTATGCCTGAGGATGGCGGTGATGATAAGGATGGAGATGATGAGTAATATCAATCTGAAATGAACATGAAAATGAGGATGAAGAAGACGATGATGCTAATGATGCTGGTACTGTTTCATGCTGCTGGTGATGATGATGCTGATGATGGTGATGGTGATGA